GAACAAGAGTAATCTGTCCTTGGTAAACTACCATTCTTTAAACTACAGTCCCTGTGCACATTCACATTGCTTCAATTTTATCCTTTGTAGCCTTTGTTTTGTTTTTCTGTCTAGGATCTAATCAGAGATTACATTTAATTGTCTTTTTTTTTGGTCTACTTTAATCTACAGCCGTTTTCCAGACCTTTTCTGTATGAGTTTCATGAAATTGACCTTTTAAAATATTCCTGGCTAGGTATTTTATAGATAAATCCTTAAATTGGATTGTTATCCTTTTCTGACTGTTGCCATATGTTTAAGTTCAGATTTTTAAAAAATATTTTTAATTTTTTTATTTTTTTTTTAGTTTTAGGTGGACACAATATCTTTATTTTTATGTGGTGCTGAGAATCGAACCCAGTGCCTCATGCATGCCAGGCGAGCGCATTACCACTTGAGCCACATCCCCAGCCCCTAGGTTCAGATTTTTAAACATATATAGGAATATCACTTAGTGAAGTTGTATCCTTCTCAGTGTGTCACTGTTAGAAGCATGTGATGTTATTCTTTTGCATCATTGGTGAAGGCAGATTTGAGCCTTTGGTTAAGATAGTGTTTTGAGATTGCTTTGTCATAAAGGTGTGTTGTCTGTTAGGGCATCCTCTGTAGTGATATTTTCAGATGTGTGTGTCTTCAATTCCCCAATAGTCTCTCACCTATTGGAATCCACCGATTCTTGTTTGAATCTTTTAGGGGTTTTGTCAAGTGGTGATTTTCCATTTTGATCTTTCTTTCTCAATTTATTAGCTTGATTTTTGGTGAACAAGAGCTTTCCCTTCTGGGGTTGGCAGAATAATAGTCCTTCAAAGATGTCCACCTCCTAATTCCTAGAATCTGTGAATATGATAACTTTATTTGGCACAGGGCAATTGAGGTTGTAGAAGGAATTAAGATTCTTAATCAGATGATCCTTAAATAAGGAGATTATTCAAGAGGGCCCTATGTAATCTCAAGAGTTCTTTAAAGTGGAAGAGAGAAGCTGGAGAGTCAGAGAGATGTGATGTGAGAAGGATTAGTCCTGCCATTGCCGTATTTGAAGATGCAGAAAGAGAGCCTGAAAATGAAATTATCTAGGGAAGATCTGTGCAGTACTCTCTTGTCTAATGGAGTGAATCCATGCACAGGGGACCTGTAAGCTTGTTTAGAATGTTATAACAGAAAATACGCTGCCAGCTTGGACTGAAAGATGAGATGAAAGAATGGTTAAGGATGAAGTGAAAGAAGACTGTTGGGCCACCACATTCTATAGACAAGAAACCAGATGACAAAATTATTTAGCTGCAAAAATGTGCTAACTTTTATGGAAAAGGAAAGATAAATCCAAGGATGGATCCTTAACTTCAGAGGATAGACCTGTGAATCATGAGCATTATTCTGAGGTCTTCAAATCTAATGATGCTTGCCTCGCTTGATTTTTAAATTATTGAGAACTGTGACTCCTTTTTTTTCCATTCACTTTTCTACCCCTCCCCTTGGTGTTTTTATGGTACTGGGAATTGAACCTAGGGGTGCTATGTCCCCAGCCCTTTTTATTTTTATTTATTGTTTTTAATTTGTTGTTGTTGTTGTTCAGGTACTAGGGATTAAACCTAGGGATTCCTTACCAGTGAGTTACCTTCCCCCATCCTTTTTATTTTTTATTTTGAGATAGGGTCTCATTGAGTTGCCCAGGCTGACCTTGAACTTGGGAAACTCCTGCCTTAGCCTGTGTAATAGCCAAGATTATAGATGTGCACCATTGTGCTCAGTAATTTCCTCCTGTTTTGAACAAGAATATCTAGAGCTGGTTTTCTGTGCTGTACTTCCATTGTATTTGGGTGCAAATACCTTGTTCCTATTTTTCAGGTCCACAGATGGAGAGCAATTCTGCCCCAGGTTGAATGATACCCAGAGTCCCAGCTTTACTTATTTAGGTGATGAAATTTGGAAATTTTGAGGCGATAAATTTAGATGAGATTTTAAACTTTGAGTTGATAGGGATGTTAGGATAGGGTGAATGTCTTTTGCACGTGAGAAAGGTGTGAATCTTTGGGGGCCAGGGGTAGACCCTGGATTCTCCCCCACTCAGTATGTCCATGTCCTAATCTCTGAAACCTGTCAACTATTACCTTATTTGGCAAAGGAGAATTAAAGTTGCTAACCAGATGACCTTAAGATAAGGAGATTATCTTGAATTGTCTAAGTAGGCCCAACACAATGATAAGTGTTCTTCACCAGGGAAGAAAGAAGTAGAAGAGGTGATTGATGCGACATGAGAAAGACCAAACCTGAAATTGTTGCCTTGAAAGTGGAAGAGGAGACCATAAGCTACAAATGAGGGAATGGGGTGGCCACTAGAAGCTGGAAAAGGGAGGGAAACAAATGGTGCCCCGAGCCTGCAGGAGGGAACATAGATGTCTGTTTCTTTAGTGTGAGCCTGGGAAAATCTGTGTTAGACTTTTGACCTCCAGGGCTATGAAATGATGCGTTTCTGTTTAAACTGCCAAGTGTGGCAATTTTTATAGCAGCAAAAGAAAGCCATTGTGCCTTCTCACTTTCTTATCTGTGTTGATTCATGGATTCTTTTTTTATAAGTGCGTTATAACCTAACTCTTTTTTTGTGTTGCAGTGACCAAAATACCTGACAAGAACAACTTGGAGGGAAAGTTGTTTGGGGCTTATGGTTTTAGAGGTCTTAGTGCATAGATGGTGGATTCCATTGCTTTGGGCCTAAGATGAGGCATCACATCATAGGGGAAGGGCCCAGGGGAGGAAAACTATGCAGCTCATGGTGAAGTCAGGAGAGAGGTGGGAAGGAGCCATAGGGAAGATGAAGCTTTCTAGGACCTGCCCCCAGTGACCCATTTCCCACAGCCACACTCCACCTGCCTACAGTTCCATCCAGCCAGTCCATTTAAACTAGGATGGACTGAATAGGTTACGGCTCTCAAAATCCAAACATTTCACCTCTTAACATTCCTACATTAACTGGCACTTTGCCCCAGGGGGTGGGGGTTCACCTCACATCTAAATTGTATAACTTTCTATAACTTTTCAATTTTACGTTCAAATTGTCTCAAATTTGGTCATTGGGCGCCCTTTGAAGCTCTTATGGCATGTTCCCAATCAGTTTTTGAGCATTTCTCTCGTTTTTGAAAAGTAAGCTGTTGCAGGCTCATCTTGTGCTTTCCTTCCCCAACTTGGAATCAGAACATATTTTGGTGAGCTGCACCCAGTCCTGCTCTTGTATCCTGTTCTGTGCTGAAGTAAATGCAAATCACTGCACTCTTTCTTACGCCATGCTGTAAAGACAACATGAACAGTGATGGATCACCGGGAAGTCTTGGGGTGTCCATGTGTTCATGCCTGTCTTTCTGTATCTGCTTGGCATGGAGCTCCTATCAGGGCTAGGCAAGGAGCAGCGAGGATTTATGAGGATTTTCACCTAAATTTAAAAAAAGAAATGGTCATCTTTGACTACAGAGGCTGAATATTATTCTAGAATCTCTCTGTGTCTGTACCATATGCATTCAGAAATTGTTCAGTATGAATTCCTCTTAAAATATTGTCCTGTAGGATTCTTAGCTAACTTTCCCAGTTTGTTGTTGCACATAGAAAGAGATTGAATTTACTGTTAGTCTTTGAGGATATATCAAAACCCCGTGTGATCATAGGTTTTCCTTCCAGACAGGGCTTATAAGCACAGATGCTTGCAGGGATCTAGCAAGAAGTGTGCATGAGTGAAGCAGGCAGGGTACTGTGCTGACCTGGGTAGTGTGGGCCTGTTCTGAAAGGGCAGCTGTGCCACCAGTTTCTAATATGCTGGAAATCAGCTTTATTGGACTCAGGGCTATCTAGAGCAGGGTTCTAAGTCTTTTGGGTACAGTGGACCCTCTTGGCAGTCTGGAAACACCTAAGGGGCTCTTCTCAGGATAATGTTTTTATTTGTTTAAACTTTTTTGCAGAACTGGGGATTGGATCTAGGCACTTGAGAATGTTACCCAAACATTCTACCACTGAGCTAAACCCCCCAGCCCTAGGATAATGTTTGCTTTCTGTTTCTTTTTTCATGGTTCAGTAGGTTTTTATTGTGCAGTTTATATACATAGTTAATACTCTTATAACTATACCTCAGGGGTAACAACAGTGAATAAGCCATAGTTTCTTCCATTAAGTAGATTACAGTCACACATTGACTTTATGTGGTGATTGGGATTCTTTTTTTTTTTAAATTCTTATTAGTTATACATGACAGTAGAATATATTTTGACATATAGAACAGATGAATGGATAAAGAAAATCTATATATACGAGTACTTACTACTCAGTAAGAAGTATTTACTACTCACTCATAAAGAGAAGTGAAAGTAAATGGATGGAACTGGAGACTATCTTGATAAGTGAAATAAGCCAATCCCCCAAAACCAAAGGATAATGTTGTTAAGTTGATTAAAAAAGTATAAGTGATTCAAAAGAAATCAGTTGTGTTGAAATATAGTAATGAAAATATTTTTAAAAATTGTGGTATGCATGTATTTTGAAAAATCAGTGCATTGAATAACACATCTAGTGGAATTAACTTGGGTGATTCATAAATACTGTGAGAGAATGAGTGATATTTTGAGCTAACTGTAACAACTGTGAAGCAGTTTTAGAATGCCTGACATCTGTTGGGGGTAGGCTCACAGATGCTGTCAGTACTATGTGCTTTGCTGTCCATTTTCCTCATTGAAGGCATTGCTAAATTTCAACCAGAAACTGGCAAAAATAAAGATGGACATTTCACCTCTTATCCAATTAGTGAACCCCAAAGAGTCTCAGGGTAAGGACCTTTGATCCCAGATACTTTCAACTTTTAGTAGTACTATTAAGAGTAGGAGTATAATGTTAATGAGTATATTTAAGCAAGCCGTCATGTTACAGTTCATTTTATTTTTACAGTTGATATTCAGTTTTCTGAACTTGATTCTGTTTTTCTTTAGAACGCTATCATTTGTCTTATAAGATTGTGCGAACAGACAGTCGCTTGGTACGCAGCATTCTGACAGCCCATGGATTTCATGAAGTAAGCTCAATTTTACTATCTCACTTGGTCTGCTTAAAAGCTGAAAATCCTAGCCATCTAACCGTATCATTTACCAGAGCTAGCTCTGAAAAGTACTTGGTTCTCATGCTTAGTGATGATGGCAGAATTGGATAGAATTGCTGAGTGGTTTTATCAGTTTCTTCTTATAATACATGGAAAGCATTTTCACAGGATTTTTTTTTTTTTAATGTTCTTAGGCTTCAACTAGAGGCAGAGCTGCCCATAAAGGAATTGTCTGTTACCCAGTTAAGGTTCTTTGATTGCAAGCAACAGAAACAGACTCAGTTTAACCAAAAGGGATTTATAGGAAAGGTATGCAGAGGGTGGCTGGTGGAATCAGAGGAAAAGCCCAAAGTCAAGTCTTTGGAAAGAGGGAGACCAGGACAGCCTTGGAGATCTAGGGTCAGGAATCTCTATTTCCTCAAGGAATGGCCATAGAAGTTACTGGACTTCAGTCTGGCTTGGTACACAAATCCACTAACTTGGGGAGAGGGTTTGTGGGGGATTGGCAGGTCCTTTGAAACATAAGTCGTTCCTCCAAAGAAACATGGGAAATTGGGATGTTGTTATCAAAAAGGATAGGTAAAAATGCTCAAGAGACTTCCACTCTAGATACTTTGAGAATAATGATGGAAGTCTGATTGCTAGCTCCTTATAGAATAAGGAGATAACTCAGATTGAGATCTCTCCTTATTCTATAAAGAGGAGATATTTTGGGGGACATTGTCATATCCATTTATATTCTGTATTGTTGCTCTTTTATCACCAGTGTTATCATGGTCCTATTACATAATAGGTATGGAGTTCTTAATTATTTAATGAAGGGTCATAAGAATTTTAATGAATGAATAAATGAATGGTCTAAGTTGGTTGACTATTGTAAGGTTTTAGTTTTGATCAGCATGTATCTGTAATGGCATAAGGAAAGTCTGAGGAAGGAGTTTTGGGGTTGGGTCCTGATCTCAGACTTTGATATGCCAGAGGATATGAGATAGTATCAAGTTCTATACAGGAGATTAATTTATTCTATTTTGTGCATCTAGGATTTCCGCAATTTTCTCATTCTTTAAACATGATTATCTTGTGTTTTGTGACAATCTTTTCTTACAGTGCTCACATACTAATTGGGTTACCTTGTGAGTTCTCTTTAGATGAAAATCAATATGACTTTCCTACTATTGCTTTTCCTGGAAAGGATTTTTTTTTTTTTTCTTTCCATGTTTCTGTCTGCCCACAGGTTCACCCAAGCAGCACTGACTATAACTTGATGTGGACAGGATCCCACCTGAAGCCCTTCTTACTTCGCACCCTCTCTGAAGCACAAAAGGTTAATCACTTTCCCAGGTAATGCTCCTGTAGCTGCTTTGTTGCATTTAGAGGTAGTTAACATTGGAACACGTGGCTGGCAGAGATAGTTACATTCTTTAAAAAAAAAAGAAAGAAAGAAACTGGCCAGGCATGGTCATGTGTGCCTGTAATTCCAGTGACTTGGGAGGCTGAAGCAGGAGGATCACAAGTTTGAGTCCAGCCCCAGCCAACTTAGTAAGGCCCTAAGTAACTTTGTGAGATCCTGTCTCAAAAAATAAAAAGAGCTAGGGATATAGCTCATTGGTGGCAAAGCATTCCTGGGTTCAACCCCCAGTATAAAAAAAAAGAAAAGAAAGGAAATCTGGTCTAGGACATCAGTCCTTGGGCAGGTACAGACACTTTTCAAGGACTGTAGAGGCATAGGTGGTTTTAAAAGAGAAAGCTGCTTCTTTTTTTTTTTTTTTTTTTTTTTGGTGGATAACCTGTGATTTATTTTATAAACTTAACATCATGGTAGTGAGTTTCTAGTGGAGTAAGGCTGTTCACATGGCATTCAGGAGGCAGAGAGAGAGAGAGCACGCTGAGAGAGAGCGAGAGTGCACAAATTGAGCTGCTGCGGCTGCTGCTGCTTCTTCTTCGTCTTTATTTATTTATTTATTTTTATTTGGGGCTGAGGATTGAACCCAGTGCCTCACACATGCTAGGCAAGTTCTCTGCCACTGAGCTACAACTGCAGTCCCCAAATTGAGCTTCTCAAAAGCACCTGTGGTGGGTGTGTTCTCCTTTCTTATCTCCTCTTCCCCTTTTATAAAAGAATGGCTCATCTGGTATCTTACTATGATGCATTGTCCATAGGTGTAAAAATGTCCAGGGTTCCAAACAAAGGTACAAAATAATTAATGTCTAATTCTAGCAATAGCATAACACATTCTTCTTCCATGATGTGGTTTCCATTTCTTTGCTTTTAACAGAATTAAAGATGCCATGATCTAGTTGTCAATAAGTTATAATGGCAGATTGTTTTGTGATTTTTTTTTTTGACATATAATTAAGAAGAAATTCAAATAATTGCGTTGTTTTGCTATAGAAAGCTCTTTCTGGTTGTGTTTGTTAAGGCAGCCTCCAGAGACATGCCTTGTGGATAGAAGCACAGGCTTTGTAGCCAGCTATCTGGGTTCAGATTCCAGATCTGCCAAGTGACCTTAGGCAAGTGGTCTCTCTGGGCATCAGTTTCCTCACTGGTAAAAAGCAGGTGCTAATGGCAGGCAAATACGTATGGTTGTGAGGATTTAATATATCAAGATGTGAAGTGTTTACGGTGGTGCCTGCCACCTAGTATGCACCCTGTGGGTTAGCTGTATTTATGTGAACAGTTTCTTAATGTGCATCTGTGAGAAAGGACAAGAAAGTTAATGCTGCAACCCTATCTTATTCTAGCAGCATTCATGGAGAGATATGTGGCCTGATGGAGAGGGTAGCCAGTCTCCCTGATCTAATGGAGAGATGCAGATCTAATGAAAGTTTTTATTTGGTCAGTGGTTACATTTTATTTTATCTCCAGGGCTTGTACCCCAAATAAAACCAGTTTTATTTTCAGTTCTCTCATGTGCTTTTGTCCTCATGTTCATGATACGAAGCTGTTTCTTGGTTTTTCAGTTCTTTTATTGTGCATGCAATGTGTGTAAATATTGGCCTGTACTCTCTCTTGTCAGATGGTTTCTTCATAGTCTTGGATAATTGTATGTCTTCATAGTAAGTTCCATTTTTATTTATGTCTGAACTTCATTGGCAGAAAATAATTTAAACCTTAAATTTTCTTCCTTGGTGCCTGGATTTGGTTTTCTAAATGTGTGACTGCATGCTTGAAGTAGAGCAGATGCATCTGTTTAAAAAAGGTCTTTAAACAATCTTTAGAATAGCCCATGCTATAGTCTGCCTTCCTAATTCATATTAGTAGTATATTAATTATTTTAATAGTTTTTGAGTATTCCTGTACTTGTGTAGAAATTTCATCTCAATTTGGACTCAGTAATATAAATTCTAACATATATTTTCCTTGACTGCTCTTTGAATGCTTTATACTTGGAAGTTTGGCAACATTGGTAATTCATTTTCTAGTTGCAGTAATTTTGTGACTTCTGCTATATCCTTCCTGTTTTAATACAAATTCTTGTAACTCACATGCAAGAGAAATTCAAGCACTTTATTAGCAGTATTAAATATTGTACACTTTCTTAATAAAACTTTTCAACTTTAATCTTAGACTTACAGAAAAGTTGGAAATATATTATAAAGAGTTGCTATTTTTTTAAACTTAATTTCTTGTGATAATAGCTGGCCTAAGAATAGTATAATTATCAAAACTAAGAAATTAACAGTAATAGAATACTATTGACTGAAGGGAAAGCGAGGAATGAGAGACAGGTAAGCAAGAAATTAAAGACAGAGACCAGTCAGAGATACATACACGAGTTTGTCAGAGCGGATAAATAAAGGCCATCTCTCTACAGGAGAAGAGGCAAAACAAGCTTGAGTTCTGGGACTTTTATGGGGGATGCTCAGGAATCAGAGTTGGGCGGGCTGGTCCTAATACAGTTGGTTAAGGTTGGGTTGGTGTGAGGGAGTGGTGAACCTTTCTTAGAACCACCCAAGGGCGGGAAATTGAACTTTTTCCTTAAAATGATGGCTGTCACTTAATAAGATGGCTAAGCAAGGACCTTATATTTGCTGTACTACAAATGTTATTATTTTACCAGTTTTTCTACTCTTTTTCTGTTTAAGGATCTCACGTTAGCATACAGTCATCATGTATCCTTGACTTCCTCCCCATCTATGACAGTTCCTAAATGTTTCATTGTTTTGCACAAATTTCTATTTTATATCTTGGGGATGGTACCCAAGTTTAAACACAGAATTTATTTGTTTCATAAATAAACATACATAGCCCAAAAGTAATTTTATACAATATTTTAAATCATTTTGAGTAATGATGTAACTGGTCTGGGGATGTAACTCAGTAATAGAGCACTTGCCTAGCATGTGCAAGGCCTGGGGTTTAATCTCCAGCACCCTAAGTAATAATAATAATAACAACAACAATGCTAACAATAAACTTTGTGTATGAGCCAGTTTTATGGTATAGAATTTTCCACTTGGGTACTAGGTTGGTATTCAAACAATTTCAGATTTTGGAGCATTTTGGATTTTAGATTAAGGATGGTCAACCTGTAATATACTTAATTTAAAATTTTTAATATTTAGGGTGTTTTGATGTATACTACATTACTTGCAATGATAATCATATACATACACATGCTCGCACACACACAGACACACACACATATTTACTGATCCTAAAGAAAGAACCTGGAGGGGCTGGGGATGTGGCTCAAGCGGTAGCGCGCTTGCCTGGTATGCGTGCAGCCCGGGTTCGATCCTCAGCACCACATACAAACAAAGATGTTGTGTCCGCCGAAAACTAAAAAAAATAAATAAATATTAAAATTCTCAAAAAAAAAAAGAAAGAACCTGGAGTCAAGGGAGAGATTCTGGACATTTTATTGCTGATGCGTTCCTCCTTGGAGACAGACTGGGCTAAGACAGCCCTGTGGTGCTTGTAAGCTGGGGGAATCCATAGGATGGGTGCAGGTGGAGTTTCTCAGATGTTTTATGAGCACATTCTTCTGCTTTACAACCAAGGTCACTCTGCTTTGATCCTCACCTAAAGGTTGGAGATAAGTGAAGTGGCCAGTCCTCTTCCACTTTCCATTCCCTTCATTATCGCATTCTTTTAGGGTTCTTATCTCACTGCAAGCTTTTCTAGGCACTGATTAGTGTTTAACCAGAGAAAGCCTTATGATCAAAGGAGATTTTAATTTCAAAATGTATACATTTGCTAGAGAGAAAGTATGGTATAATGTAAAGACAAGCGTTAAATATGTTCTCTTAGGAGAATTGAATGGAAGACTGGATGCTGCCTAGGTAGAGAGAGGGAGGCTTCTGGTGACTGGATATGTTCCCTTCTCGGTGTGAGTGGTAGCTACATAGGTGTTTTTTCTACTTTGTTAAAATTTGTCATGCTGCACCTGTAATTTGTGTCCTTTTCTGTATGTTAGCTTCAGGAAAACGTGTATTTTAAAAAGTAAAAATTACTGACCAACTTCACTGAGCTTTTTCCTTAATAGCATTTTAAAATTGTTATGGGAGGTATTGAATATTTTATTTTATTTAGATTTCCTTGGATACACTTAAAAGTGTTGTGCTAATAGTTTTACTTTAAAATTATTTACAATTCATCAGTTTCTTGGGAACAGTTTAAAATTTGTGATGAAGAATCCTAGAGGCTGATGTTGCTGAAAGCTTGGTCCTTGTCTCCAATGCCAATCCAATAAAGAGGACATGGTTTTAAGAAAAAGGAAAAAGAAGGTTTATTGCTTTGCTAGCAAATGAGAAATAAACACAGAGGACCTCTGTCCCAAAGGTGGTGATTCTTCCCATCAGCAGGAACTGGGTTTTTTTAAAGAGGTGATTCAGAGAAAATAAGATTAGGGAGGAGAGATCAGGAAGGAGAAGATCAGGGAAAAGAAGTTTGGAGAGGAAGGTCAGGGAAAAGAAAATCTGGGAGGAGAAGATCAGGAAGCAGAAGGTTAGGGAAAAGAAGATCAGGGAGGAGAAGGTGGGGGAGGGCGGGAAAGGGAAAAAAACATGTAAGTTTCAAATTCGCAAGGGATATAGTCAAAGCATCGAGTGAACCCGTTACACTGATTTAAACATGAGAGGATATGATACATGGTTTCCTAACTATGGAGGAGGTACCAAGCAGAGCGTCTGAACACCACTAATAGGGTATTTGTAGGAGAACAAGTTTTTTTTTGTTTTTGTTTTTCCCCTTATCCTCTGGCTCTTTGTTTCTAATATTTTAATGATAAGAATTACCTGGAGTACTTTAAAAAAAAATTTCAAATCTATTTTTATTGTTTTTAGGTATACATGATAGTAAAGTCTATTTTGACATATTTATACAAACATGAAGTATA